ACGAATAATAAAGACTTAAGTTTTTTGAACCCGCAAAAATTTCCTCTGTCTGAATGTTTACCTTATTTTTACGCTGCGATTTTGTCGCGGTATCTTTATGCTATAACTGATACAGTGAAGTATGATTGACTTTGTTTGGTGAATTTTTCTTCTAACAAAATTAAATTAAAGTTAAAAGTTCGGCCAAAACTAACTAAATATTAAACTTGTTATACTCGACAAAATCTTCTTCAATTGCATATTAGTATTAATAATAATTATATTTACTCAAACAAGTATGAGGTAACCGCAGTAAATTTGCTTTCATCCATGTAATAATAAGTTCAACATATCAACTTATTTAAATACATCAAAGCTTACATTTGCAATGCTCTTCAAAACAATTCTTTTCAAATCTTTCACTAATGAAAAAATTGATAAGAATATATTTCAGAGTTCGAAAATTAGCTATTTTAGCTTCAAGAAAGTTACTATAAGCGTATTTTAGTTAATCTCTTGATAAAACACATAAAAATACTCAAGAACTATGCAATAAGTGAAAGTTGAAATTATTCTTGCAAGTGCAAGCTCTATCGACTTGTTAATCAGACTGAGTGTTTCATGGCACTGCGTGGATTGGTCACAGTATGGCAGACCCTCGCAATGTCAAGATCTTAAATATTTTTGCAATATCTCAGAGTACAAGGAGGCAATGAACGTAAGCTGTCCTGTAACTTGCGGATTTTGTGAGCCATTAAAACCAGTAAGTTTATTTTTCACCAAAATTAGCTTTCTTACTATTTGAGTATGTCACTTCAACAAATTCAGAATATTCAGAGTTTTGTTGAAGTGACAAACTGAAATAGTTAAGAGGAGTTAAGTACATTTTAGTGCATAATATATCAAGTCAGATTGCTTGAAGGAATTTTTCTTTAGAAAATACTGTCGGAACAATTTGAATAACATTGCAGAAGCCAAAAAAACCATGAATCTTCGTAATGCTCGTTCCTAAACAACTTCTGTTCATCGAAAAAAAAACGATCTTCCTATTATTTGTAAAATGGATTTTTCATACGGAAACTATGTAGGATGGCCAAAAAATCTCAACATTTGCTTTTGTTATGAGCGAAGAAAACATGGAAAAATTGTTGTTTATTCATTCGACAATATATCTCCAATAATAGTTAATACCGTCCAATCTTTATGCATAAATGTATACTTATCAAACTAAGTAAAGCACTTTGACGGCAAACATTGATCGTTTCATATTAAAACACTGAAAGATGAAATCAATGATTGCATGAGTCAAACACATTCTGATACATCCGTAGTTTGTCTTCAAAAAAAGTCTAGTTGATCACTTTTCAAAATTAATTTCAAAATTTTGCAATGATTTTACCAATGCTATGATAAAGGCAAGTTCCTGTTTTTAAAAATTTTCTGCAGTAGTAATACTGAATGTATTTGTTTGTTTATTAAATGTACAGATCCGAAATACATGTAAAGAAGTTGAGTAAATAGAACAAAATTCATGAAAACAACAGAAAGGTAGAAAAAACCGTATCCAGTAAATGAAAAATCAAGATTCTAAGAGGATTAGAAACCTCATAGTTTGTAAACTGCAAAAATTATAGATAAAAACTAGTAGAAGTACAAGATTTTAAAAATTGTAGTTTGCAGAAGATAATGTGTAAATTTTGTAAATGTTAAATTAAAAAGTAAAACCAAATTTTAATTATCAGAGCAAGTAAAAATTAATTTGAAGAATTTAAATTTCAAGAGGAATTTTGACTCAAAGAAAATTAGTCAGAATTCAGTCCAAATATATGTACACTGATAATCTGATATCGTGAACATCCCTCGAACAGTAATACTTCAATTTCTGCCATTTATTTACAAATAAGTTTCTGCATTCTTAAAAAACAAAAAGGCTATGAATGAGTATTCTCGTAGCTAAAAATTAGCAATTATCAATGATTGAATAGTTTTCTGAATTATGGGGATTACTTTGTGATCCGATTTTCTAGTTGATAGCTAAATTTATTGAGTTACGAGCGTACTTAAGAAAAATTACGTGTCGTTTTCATTAAATCCGATCCGAATTAAGTAAAACTTTATCCTTGTCATCTAGCCATCCATCATTGCCATTACCTCAAAAAATGGCTTGCATTACACTGGATCGAGACCTCGCACCGTGATCATAAAAGTTCGAAAGAAAACAAAATTATGATCATACTGTTCAGAATGAAACGAGGAGTGAAGTACCTAAATTTTACTTCTGTACTTCTCCTGACCACAAAGTTCGGTGCTTATTTTAATAATAATGCACAATTCATACTAAATTATACAAGAGAAAAATCTTTCTTCAGAGTTGCAGGCCTCAATGAGATTACTGTATTAGGTAAGAAAATTGATAACAAATATGCCTGTTTCCTGCCTATAATGTATATTTTTTGACAAGCTACGAAAATAACAAGAATAAAAAAATATAGCTCTGTTATCAAAAATGTTGGGAGTCGGCAGTTACAGAAGAGTACTGGAATAATTAAATAAGAGTTCGGAAATAAAATGGATATGTATCAAGTTATAGAATTTTAAAGCGAGTAACCTCCCTCAAAATGGCCCCGTGCTGTAAATGCTAAATCTGCACCGATACTGTCGATTATAAGCAAAACGAAATTCTGTTCATCCTTCAGAAATATTCACTGAAGCGAACTGAAATTATGGTAATATATAGTTAAATAGATAGATCATAATAAAAAGTGACAAGGACAAGGATGTCTACGGCCATACCACGTTGAAAGCACGACATCTCGTCCGACCTGTCAAGTAAAGCAACGTTGGGCCTGGTTAGTACTTGGATCGGAGACGGCCTGGGAATCCCAGGTGCTGTAGACTCCCTTTTGCATCTACTTGCAAATTCAGAAAAAGATGACATAAATTCAATTCGGCCATCATTATATCGCAAGACCATCAATGAAACATCGAATTAATACATGCAAACTTCATCAGAATGACGTTTTGACGTTCGCTTGCACATATTAGTCTGTTGCGTTAATAATTTTGTATAATTTGAATACCAAAAAAATACAATTTCACCAGAAATTACCTGTAATATTTTTTTTAATTTTATAAAGTAAATACTTTGAATTCAGACTAAAAATAATTATAAAATTAAAGTTAGCGATTATTAATCGAAAAAATGTGGCAATTATTCTTTCCAGTCAGTCATTCTTTCAATTGTCAGCTTGAATTACTCATTTGAGAATCGCAAGCCAAAATGAGTCTTGTTTTCTGATAGTATTGAAGGATATTATATTGACTTTATGCACCGGTCGAAAAAAAGGCAAAAGTTCAAGGTTGAAGGAAGTTAGATAGAACCTTTGAATTTGCAACCTCATTTGTGCATATGAGCAAATTTTATTATCATGTAAAGTGTGCTAGCACGTAGAAATGAAAGATGAGATTTACGTGTATTAATTTCAGATGAATGTCTATTATCGCTACCACATGACAATCTCTGCAAATCCAAGCAAATTAAGAACTTCCAGAATTCACTAATTGATTAATTTTCTCGCAACGGTTCAATAATCATATCTGACTGATAAAAGACAGTGCAAATGATTTAAAAATCTATCATTCAATACTTTCTCTGATTAATACAATCGCTAACTTTGGCTCTCATTCCATCTGTTTTAAATTCAAAGTTTCCCTCTTGATAATGCAACGAAATGCACATAGACCAGTGCATGATTCCGGGGGAAGAAGAGCAGCCCCAGTTGTGGATATATTCCTCAATCAAAACAAACTTATTTCTCTTTTCGATCCCAATTTCGTATTCTTTATGCTCGTGAAATACAAAAATGCGGGAGAGTAACTACAGAGGACGATTCTATTACCAAGATCGAGGGAAAAATTCCGATGTCTGACCTTGAGCATGAGTGTATTTCGAGATCAGAATATTGCGAGTCGTTTCTGACTTTGTTAGGCTTTTGAGCTATGATCACCATTGTTATTCATTTCTTTGAAAATGAGACACAACTAATTCTGTAAGAAATATTTTGCTATTAC